TGATACTTCTATAATAAAGGGCAAATAGCAATATCAAAATATTTCCTCTAATTAATCCCCTTTTAATGTGCACGAATTTCATGCACCGGGCCACTAGTTTATAGATAATGCTTTTGGTGTCATATCTAAGAAATCTTTGCTTGACCCAAGGTGAAAAAGATTTTGTCTATATTTTCTTCAAGATATTTTATAGCTTTATGTCTTACCTTGAGGTCTATGAATCATTTGTAACTAGTTTTGACATAAAGTATGAAGTATTTTTTGCATTGAGGCTATAATAAAGGAAAAGATTCTACTTTATGTGTGAGTGCTGACTGCTCTGAAATCCTGCTTCCCTCCCTCTTTTGACCCACATCTGGGTAAAGCAATAAAAAAGCCCAGCCATTCACTCCTTCTGTGTTGGTGGGAAGTTAAACCCATATAAATCCCACACATGGGAACCATCAAACAGATCCCTCCTCTGAGCCACAATAAAACTAAAGCCAGCACCCTGCTTCACTCTTGCTTCAGTCTAGACTCTAGACTAAACCTATGCCATTGTCCCTGAAGAATCCTTTTGCACTTTATTGTGCAAGTAAACTTTATTTCATATTTCATATCCACTGGTGTCTTTGCGTCACTTGTCTGAACATTTAATAAATTCCTAGGCAGGGGCTGACTAGTGTCTAATAGGGGATACTAGGTGCCCAAATAAAACAGATTTTTTTTGTATGAGTATCCAATTATTCCATACTACCCTTTCTGTACTGAACTGCCTTTATACCTTTGCCAAAAACAAACTGACGATTTTTGTGTGGATTCTCTACTGTGTTCCATTAATCTGTATGTTTATCTTTTCTCCAATACCACACTGTCTTGAGTACTGGCAGCTACACAATAAGTTGAAATCAGGTAGTGTAAGTTTTCCAACTTCGTTCTTCTTTTTCAAAACTGTTCTGCCTTTTCTACTTTCTTTTTATTATATCAATTTTAGATTCAGCTTGTCAGTTTCTATAAGAAATCCTACTGATATTTGGACTAGAATTGTATTGAATCTATAGATCAGTTGGAAAAGAATGGAAATCTCAACAAGAATGAGTCTTCCAATCCATGAATATGATATATATCTCCATTTATGTTGGTACTCTTTGGTTTCATTCATTGGCATTTTATAATTTTCAGTATACAAATCTTGGACATATTTTTCAATACTTAAATATTTTATGGATTTGGGTGATACTGCAATGGTACTTTAAAATTTTAATTTTCCATTGTTCTTGCTAGTATCAAGAAATATAGTTAAGCCCGGCCAGCATGGCCCAGTGGTTGAGGATCAGGAGGTCGTGGATCAATCCCAGTCAGGGCACATGCACAGTATTTCCATACCACATATGCATTTTTGTTGTTGTTAATCCTCACCCGAGGATATTTTTTCCATTAATTTTTTAAATCTTTATAATAAAACCCAAGCTAATATTTTTAAATCTGTTTTTATTGATTTTTAAAGAAAGAGGAAGGGAGAGAGAGAGAAACCCCTGAGAAGTAGCATCAATCAGCTGCCTCCTGCCCACCCCCTACTAAGGATCATGCATACAACCTGTGTAGGTGCCCTGACTGGGAATCCAACCAGGGACCTCTTGGTTCATGGATCCATGCTCAACCACTGAGCCACACCAGCCTGGCTTTTTATAGAAAGTGGAAGACCCCTATGTTCATAGCAGCACAGTTCACAATAGCCAAGATTTGGAAACAGCCTAAATGCCCATCAACAGATGAGTGGATTAGAAAACTATGGTACATCTACACAATAGAATACTATGCTGCTATAAAAAAGAAGGAATTCTTACCATTTGACAGCATGGATGGAACTGGAGAGCATATGCTAAGTGAAATAAGCCAGGAAGTGAAAGAAAAACACCACATGATCTCACTCATTTATGGATAATAAAGAACATTATAACCTGATGAACAAAAAGATAGATACAGAGGCAGAGAAGCATGAAACAGACTGTCAAATTACAGCGGGAAGGCTGGGGAGTGTTGGGGTAGGGCGGGGTAAGAGATCAACCGAAGGACTTGTATGCATACATATTAGTATAACCAGTGGACACAAGACACTGGGGGACGGGGGGTGAGGGCATGTGATGGGGGGTAGGGGAGGCTGGGGGAAGGTCAATGAGGTGGGGAAAAAAGGAGACATAGGTACTACTATCTGTAAACAAAATAAAATTTAAAAGAAAAAAAAAGAAAGTGGAAGAGAGGGAGAATAAGGGGGGGGAGGGGAAGAGAAGGGAAGAGAAAGAGAAACATCAATGTGAGAGAGATACATCAATTGATTGCCTCCCGCATGCACCTGGGCAGGGATCAAACCTGCAACCCAAGTACATACATGCCCTTGACCAGAAATCAAACCCAAGACTCTTCTATGCTTGGGTGGGCATGCTAACCACTGAACCACACTGGCCAGGTCTGTACTTACATTTTTTGACCCAGGGTTCACACCTATTAGATTCTCAATGGATTCATGACCTCAAAAGAAGTTGAAAATTGCTATGTATTTCACCGGGTACACTTTTCAAATGTAATTAAAATCGGTGGGGGCTTGCCCAAGGTGGGAATGGCTGGGGGGTGGGGCGGTCAATTGGGGGAAGTGGAGACTTATGGAAAACTTTAGACCATAAAAAAATAATTAAAAAATAAATATAAATAAAAGGAGTAATTAAATCCGTTTATTATTAATTGCTAAGTAAAATCAGACTTTCCATTCACAGAAATGAAGGTTCAGAAGCTTAAAGACTACATCCCTGGAATAAAAGCAGGAGTTTGAACTTAATTGCCCTATGAAAGATACTGCTTGTCAGTATACAACCCACTCTGCAGTTTTAGAAAAGGTTAACATCTCCTTACCAAAAAGCCAAGCTTCACCTGCAACAACCTGAACTACCTAGCTGATATAAACCTCTTTTTTTAATAGTCTTTTGCACTGCCTAAATAATTATTATTCTGCGATAATTAAAAGTTATATACAATCTGTCATCTATTTTACTACCTTAGTTATTACTAAGACACAAAGTGGCTATTGTAATTACATGTTTACCAAAGCCCTGGCTTTCGGTACTTCAAAATAAAATTCATTTTAAGAGGTCAAAGGAAACAGCATTAGCCATCTAAAAAAAAAAGACAAAGTAGTCCTTTTTTCCAGTTAGTCTATGTTAAATTTATAAGAAACATTTGCCATCAGCTATTTAAATGTTCCAAAGCAAAAAAAAAAAAAAAAAAAAAAAAATTACATAACTTTTAAAGGTAAGTGATAACACCTCTGTTTCCCACAGAACCAATATTTAAAGTTCATATTAAAATTCCAAAATTACACTCAGGCTAAAACCAAAGTTAAAGAAAAATCATGAAGTGTCTATTTAAATTTCAAATCAAGGCTAAGCATATTCAAGATTGTCCACTTTCAGCTTCTTGAATATTTTCTGCTAAGGTATCCACTTTCTCCATAGAAACTTGATCAGAAAAAAATCCCTTTGAAATGTTTTATAAATTAAATTCCAGTGTTCCTGCTATGCGGAATGAATATTTCATTTGATTATTTTAGGAAAAGACTAGCCTCATTCATAAACCACGTCTAAACCTAAAAGGGGAAATAGGTTTCTTTCCAGAACCTTAAAAAAAAAAGCCAAAAAGTTGATGAAAGCACACGGTGCCACGTCCTTCCCCCTCCCCCACTCGCGTAGTGGCTACTCCATCCCTTAGCGAGCATGGCGGGGGGGGGGGGGGGGGGGGGGGTCAGAGCCAGGCTCCCGGGGAACCAGAAACAGTTAAGCTGGCAAGCTCGCCTCTCAGATCAGTTCCTAAAAGGAGAACCAGCTTCTTACTCATCCCTTTCTAAAGCAGACAGTGCAAAACTCCAAGTCTGCTCCATCCACCCCCACGATGGCAAAAGATGGTTTAGTGTCTAAAAACTGAATTGTGTGTGTGCAGGGGGGGAGGGGTGTGGCAATGGGGAGATAAGGACACATATTTAATACCTTAATAAAGAAATTTTAAAAATTTTTAAAAATAAAAACTGAATTGTATTTATTTTTTTTTACTTATTTACTTTTTTTTTATTTTTCCCCTCTGTGCCCCCCTCCACCTCCCCCCTGCCACCGCAAAAAAAACACCACCGGATTGTAATTAATACATTCAATTCTTTCGGAAAATAGTCTCCTATTTACGGTGCCATCCTTTCTCCCCCTTCAGGCATAGACCTGGGGGCCACTCGTGCACCCTAACTCCAAGCTCTCACACACCCATGGAATGCGGTGGCTTTAAAGGCAGCTAACTCTGCGAGGAGCTCACGTGCCTTTACAGAAACCTGGGTGAAAAGAGGGACGGAGGAGCCGAGCCTCCGACGGGGGGCTGCGCTGACAGCGACTTCCTCCACCCACACGTCGGAAACGCGCCGCCCCAGCCGCCCCGCTGCGCGCAGCCCGGGAGCGAAGCCCCGACTTCTCCCGCGACCCGCGGGCTTCCCGGAGGGTGGACTTGCCCGCAGAGCCTCTGCTCCCCACGGCCACACGCGAACCAGCTGTGCCCTGAAGGCCCCAACCCCCGCCCGCTCGCGCGTCCCCATCCGCCCCGCCGGCCGGGAGGGCCAGGTATGCGCGGAGCTCGGGAAATCAACAGGGTGATTCCTCCCGGGAAGAAACATTCAAGAAAGTTCTGGTCCTCGGGGCGGGGACTGAGGCTGCCGCAGCCCGAACGCCCGGGGGCGCCCACCGGGTCGGAGGCGCGAAGGGGCGCACCGACGCGGGCAGAGGGGCCTCTGGGCCGGCCGGGGGTCCGCGCGCGGCGCAGGGCGAGGGGCCGAGCCCCCAGAGAAGAGACGGAGGCCGCCGCGGAAAACTGGGGACCCCCGCCCCCCAAACCATCCCCCCGGAGGGGGCAGGGGCCGGGCCACCGGGGCCGGGGAGAAGGACCACGGCTGCCCAAGGGCCTCGGCCTCTGTCTCCAGGGTCCGGGGCGCGTCTCACCTGGGAAGCGGGGCGCGAGCGCGTTCCTCCGTGCCCTGCTGCCGGCACCGGGCGGGCCACCGCCTCCGTCCTCTGCCCGCTGGCGGCGCGACTGGGCAGCAGAGGGAGCCCGTAAGCCTTTTATAACCCCAGGCGCCGGCCGCGGGGAGAGGAGGCGACCGCAGCCTCTACGTGAGCGCGAGCACACCCGCGCCCGCCGACCGCGCAGGCGCCACGGGCCGCCCGCCCCGCCCACTCCCGCGGCCCACACCCGCTCTGCCCACGAGCTCGTGGAATCTGCGGCCGGAGGTGGGGCCGGCGGCGGGCCGGGACGCAACGCGCCTGCGCGAGGCTCTCGCCACGCCACCGTCACCGTGGTTACCGCGAACTGGCCCAGCTCCTTTTCATCGGGCTCTTTATTGCCTTCATTTCAGCATCAGCCTCACATCACCTGGAGGGAGACACCGCAAACGTGAGAAGAGGAACAGAGAAGCGTAGAAAATGAAGCAGAAAGCGAGCTTCTGGTGGATCCTGGGCATCTCAGCTGTCCTGGCCCTGAGCCTTTTTGCTTTACTAACCTCCCTCTTTCACCTCTACTGTCGTGCAAATCTCTCGTCACCTTTATATTTTATCAGTTGGTAATGGACTCTGTGCTCCAGAAACAGATTTATTTTTTTAATGAAATCTTTATTGTTGAAAGTATTACATATGTCCCCTTTTTCCCCCTCATTGACCCCTTCTAGCCCGCCCCCGCCGCCTGCCGGGGCCTTCACCACCCTACGGTCTGTGTCCATGGGTTATGCATATATGCATACAAGTTCTTTGATCTCTTCCCACCCAGCCAGCCTCCCCCGCCTTCCCTCTGAGGTTCCGCAGTCTGCTCTATGCTTCTATGTCTCTGGATCTATTTTTTTTTCCATAAGTTTATTTTGTCCATTCCACGTAGGGGTGAGATCATGTGATACTTGTCTTTCTCTGCCTTATTTCGCTTAGCATAATACTCTCCAGGTCCCTCCATGCTGAGACAGGTTTTTATTTTTTTGGTTCAATTCCTGGCCTAGTCCCCTATAAGGTTGGGCATTAACCCCTCTGTACCCCAGTTTCCTCATCTATGAGGGTAGATGCCTCAGAGGATTATTGTGAGAATTAAATGATAATGTATGCAAAGCACTTAGCACAAGCCTAGCACACAGAAAGGACTTGGTAAATAGATTGTGTTGTTGTAGCACAGCATGTCAAACTGTGGACCCACGCATGCGGCCCACAACAAATATATTTGCGGCCCAGCCAATATAACGGTATGTATGAAACATTTTAATGAAAATTTTGTAACTTAATTTTACAGTATCCTGTTATACATAATTATTAATAACGAACTACAATGTTCGCTAATGGCTGATTACTATAATCGTGTTGCATTCATTTCCCTTATGCGCCTTACGTGCAGGCGCACCATTTCTCTCCACTAATACTAGCAGCAAATACTTTAGCAGCCGATTGCCACATCATTAGTCTTGTACTGACTTGTTTGGTGTGTGCAACAGGAAGTATTTCGCTTTTGGAGAACAAGAAAAATAGGTTTATTTGCGTTATTAATTTGTGCAGTTATTCAGTGGTAAGTTAATGTTCAAGAAAAAAATATTAATTTTTATTTAAAAGTTCTATTATTTTATGTTAACGATTACTCATTTATTTCAGCCCTTTGTATTCAGCATGTCTCTATCGAAATAAACCTACGTTTCTATGAAAATTGAAGCTTTTGGGGTTTTTTTGTGGCCCACATAAACTTAAACCGTGTTTATTTGGCCCGTGTTAGCCTTTGAGTTTGACATGCATGTTGTAGCATATAAGGCACCAATGTTGTCTTAGTCTTCGTCAAGCATTTGCCTCGGTCATTATGTTGCCAAGAGAAGAAAGCTTAGCTGTCAGGAAGCTTACAATGAAGGAGGTAACCTTTCCCTTGTCAGTGAAAGGGAAGAAGGACTTCTCTAAGACTTATTCTTTAAAAAGTGCTTCTAAAGTTTTCCGTTGTTGCTAAAAAGCATAGTGATTAAACATTAGCATTTGACTCTTACCTAGGAAGTGGGGTGAACAACACAGATACAGAAATAGAGGGAGGGTACTTGGGGAGCCCCCCTTACCTGGGATTTCGCTTTCTGCAGTTTCGGTGGTTTCTACAGTCGTGGTCTGAAAATATTAAATGGAAAATTCCAGAAATAAACAATTCATAAAGTTTAAATTGCACGCTTCTGGATGCCATAATGAAATCTTGAGCCATCCTGCTCCATCCCTCCCAGGTCATGAATCATCCTTTGTCCAGCTTATCTTCGAGGGATATCCTTCCCGCCCATTCGTCACTTTGTAGCCCTCCCGGATCCGCTGTCACGGTATCACAGTACTTATGTTCAAGTAAACTTTTTTTTTTAACGGCCCCAAAGCACAAGAGTAGTGAGGCTGGCAATCCGGATATGCCAAAGAGAAGCTGCAAAGTGCTTCCCTTAAATGAAGAGGTGAAAGTTCTCCACTTAATACGGAAAGTAAGAAAATCATATTTTGAGATTGCTGAGAATGAAACTTCTGTCTGTGAAATTGTAAAAAAGGGAAAAAGAAATGCATGCTAATTTTGCTGTTGCACCTCAAACTGCAGAAGTTACAGCCACAGTATGTGACAAGAGCTTGGCTAAGATGAAAAGGCATTTAATTTGTGGGTGGAAGATGTGAACAGAAAACCTTGTGTTCCAATTGACAGCAACATGTTACACCAGAAAGCAGGGAGCCTCAGCAAGGGATCCCCTGGAATGAGTGACCATAGTAACATAACTTTTATTACAGTACATTGTTATAATTATTCTATTTTTTATTAGTTGTTAATATCTTACTGTGTCTAATTTACAAATTGAATTTTACCTGAGTATGTATGTATTGGGACAAAACACAGTGTATATAGGGTTTGTTGCTATCTGTGGTTTCAGGCCTCTACTGGGGATTTTGAAACGTATCCCCCATGTACTGTGTAGTGTTGATGAAATCAGCCGTTCTCAAAGCATGGTTGGGGGTTCCTAGGGTCAAAATTATTTCATATTAAGACTTTACTTGCCTATTACACTGTAATTAAAGTACAGTGGGGTTTTCCAGAGAGAACATGTTCTGTGCAACAGGTTGAATGCAGAAGCAGATATGAGAATTAGGCCAGATATTAAAGAGGTTTGCAGAAATGTAAAATAATGCCACTCTTCTCACTAAACTCTTTTTGCTTTGGAAAATATAGTTTTTTTTTTCATTTTTAAAATGTCATTTATGTTAACATGTAACAGATTTATTATTGTTTTAAATGAATTAATAAAAAGTATTTTATGTTTGTTTTGTCTCCTGATATAGTAAATGTTGATAGATATGAGCCACATAAAAGCTTTTGGGAGTCCTCAATACCTTTTTATATATATATATATATATATATATATATATATATATATATATATATATATATATTTTTTTTTTTTTATTGATTTCAGAGAGGAAGGGAGAGGGAGAGAGAAATAGAAACATCAGTAATGAGAGAGAATCATTGATCAGCTGCACGCCCCCAACTGGGGATTGAGCCCGCAACCCAGGCATGTGCCCTTGACCGGAATCGAATCCAGGACCTTTCAGTCCACAGGCTGACACTCTATCCACTGAGCTAAACCGCTAGAGCCTCAATACCTTTTAGGAGTGTGAAATGATCATAAGACCAAAGAGTTTGATAACTACTAGTCTAAACAAAGGGCAGTGAACCAGCCCCGTGGCACAGGAGGCCAAGATTTGCTAGAAAATCTTTGCCTCAAATAGGGTTGTAACCAACTTATCCATTGGCCCTGTACAGACCTGACTGGTGAAAACTGACAATTTTCCCTGTAAATAAAATAGCTCCAAGCCTTGAGGCAGATTTCCTGTGACGCTAAGAGGCCCCAGCAATGTGTAAACATTTTAACTGCGACCTTTGGACGGCTCATTCCTTCTTCACCGAGTTCCCCTCTGCCAGGCTTCCTCGCGTCTAGTGGTGTTGGAGTGGCTAGCAGGCATTTAAAAAATTTAGCTGAAAGGAAGTTGAATTAGAATACATTTGGTATGAGTTTAATGGGGTATATTTTTGTAAGTTATAGTCACTTCCATGTATAGTTATGACATTGCCAGCGGTGTAGGAGTGGCATGCAAGAATACTTCTACCATTCGTGGTGCTGACCCACCCAGCATTGTAAAACTAAGGTGAAGGGCCAGACATGTATAGCTATTTTAAGGTGTCCTGTGTTCTAGCATCAAAAATAGATGGATAGTGGAGGAGAAGCAAAGTTGAAAGGGTAGGGAGCCTGAAACTAATCTATGGGAAATTCTTCCAATTATTGGATGTGAGAAATTTTAATTAAAGATTTAGTATTTATCAATGCTTAGTCAATAAAAGGAAATATTTTTTTAATATATATTTTATTGATTTTTTACAGAGAGGAAGGGAGAGGGATAGAGAGTTAGAAACATCGATGAGTGAGAAACATCGATCAGCCGCCTCCTGCACACCCCGCACTGGGGATGTGCCCGCAACCAAGGCACATGCCCTTGACCGGAATCAAACCCGGGACCCTCCAGTCCGCAGGCCGACGCTCTATCCACTGAGCCAAACCAGCTACGGCAGAAGGAAATATTTTTGTCAGAATTTAACGAGGACACCCACAACAGACTAGTTAGTGTCATCATCTTAAAGAAAACTGCGGCGTGGCTCAGTGGTTGAACATCAACCCATGAACCAGGAGGTCACGTTGGGATTCCCAGTCAGGGCACTTGCCTGGGTTGCAGGCTCCATCCCCGTTATGGGGTGTACAGGAGGCAGCCCATCAATGATTCTCATCATTGATGTTTCTAACTCTCTCCCTTTCTCTCGGAAATAAAAAAAAAATCAACAAAAAGACTGTCAAACAAGCATAGTTTTTCTACACATAGAAAATAATAAAAAGAGCTTTCATTTCGCATTTTAAATGGTGTTTCTTTCTTTGGCATTGAGCACCTGTATGGTTAACAAAAAAGGGAAGCCAACATGGAAGACTCTGTTATTGAAGGTGCTGTTAACCAAACTGCATTCACACATATAAAACAGTTAAAAATCATTGAAGAACATGGATAACTTTTAATTGTGAAGGTTATAAAATACTACATAGCTTTACTTGAGAGTTAGGAGAATGAAGTTGTTTTTATGAATAGG